GTGTGTGTGTGTGTGTGTGTGTGTGTGTGTGTGTGTGTGTGTGTGTGTGTGTGTGTGTGTGTGTGTGTGTGTTACCTGAGAAGCCTCGGTTCTAGTCTCCTTGTTGCTCAGCCCTCCCGCTCTCTTCTGGGTTTGTAGGCCAAAGCTGAGCTAGAAATAGGCTCATGGTGGTCTCACCGTCTCTCTCTCTCTCTCTTGCTTGCTCTTTTAATACTGTGTCTCTCTGCGGGAGCCAACCAGTAGATCTCTTAGGCTGCCCTCTGGGAGTTTATGTCACGAACACACAGATATACACATATATACGAACAGTACTGTCTACCAAGTGTAATCAGCACTCAGAGCTTCCTTCCTTCTCTAATGCAGGGCTGTTTTATTTGAGGCTGGCAGTAGTCGGCAGTAGCCCTCTGAGTATGTCCAGTGTGATGTAGCACTCCAGGAAATTCAGTGTGTGGCTGCACAATTAATTATATTCATAATCTCAAATGTTACAAAGTCTTTTATTGCAAAGACCAGGTCACCTTTTGTCACCAGCTTAATCCTGGGAATAATTTAGTACTTTTGTGTGTGTGTGTGTGTATGTATATATATATATTTTTTTTTATTCTAAAACTAAATATTTGAAAATCAGCTACAAAGTTAGCAATTGGTAATATTTTCTATACTGAGAGGAATGGTTTGAATCAGTTGTCTGTGTCTGTGTTCCAGCCAGTGGGAGTCAGGGAGTGCATGGCATACAGTTTGACTCCACTAATAAACACTCGGCTCACGTTGTTGTGAAACTGTAGCCCAGTCTGGAATACTGTCTCCCAACAGGCTTCACGTGCCCACAACGGAAACGGCCCCCTGACACAATGTAGAACTCTAGAAAGACGAGGAGGCCTTCCCAAAAACTCCAAAGACTAAGACCAAAAAAAACATGAAAGAAGGCCCAAGAGAAGAAAACCGAAGAATACATCCTAACTTCTCAAAGGGCTAGGGATGCAATAGATGGAAAAATGCCAAATGCGAAAAAAGAAAAAGATTATAAGAGAGCCAGCCTACCTACCAGCAGCTGGGACTTTATTTCAAAGAGAAGCGTCTCAGTAGGACGAGGCGGTGCTGCCTCGGGATTTTAGTTAAGTTCTTTGGAGAATTTGGAGGGCAGCTTGCTGGTATATTAAAGCATGCACAGGGAACAAGGGATTAATACGGTGTTTTAACACCTGCTCTGGCTGCAGGCATTAAACATGCCTTAACTCCAAAAAAACACCCTACGAAAGGACAATAACACGTGATGTATACAGCTTCCTTATGTGTGTTTTTTTTAATTTACTTTTTGTTCGATCTGTCAGGGACGAGAGGAACCAGTCCATCATTGTGAGTGGGGAGTCCGGAGCAGGAAAGACGGTATCAGCCAAATACGCCATGAGATACTTTGCGACGGTCAGCGGCTCCACCAGCGAGGCCAACGTCGAGCAGAAAGTCTTGGCCTCCAACCCCATCATGGAGGTGAGAACAGGAGGCGGTGTTTTGAGTGAGACCCTGGATCATTTCCAGTTTAATCTTAAAGGAGACCGACACTCAAAGAAGCCCTGAACATTTCTTAAAATATAAAATAAACACATTTGAATCCTTCAGTGAGCATCTTCTTCTTCTGAATTAACCACTTACTGAATCTGAAATTACTCGATTCTACTTTGTACAACCTGAACATTGTTGTGGGCGTGAAGGACTGGAAACAGCTCTGCGTCATGTTTCCCAGCAGTTGATGTGTGGACTCTTGTTTCCTTGCCCTAATTACTCTCCAGTAAATTCACAAGCTTAGTTGGTTGGTGGATGATATGGGCTGAGCGTCATTACGTTTGCCCTTCTCTCTTATCTCGCTCTTCTCCTTTGGCATTTACTTCCGCCCTTCCCTTCGGTTTCTCCACCACACTGTGTCTTTCTAGCCTCGAGCTGCTGTCCCCTGGGATAACACTAGTCTTCTCCTTAACTGTGTGTGTTTTTGTATTTCATCCTTGGAGTCATGAGGACAGGAGGGGTTGGAGAGCTCCCCTGTGCCCATATGCTGCCTCCCTTCCTCTACCTCCTCACATCCCCCACCCTGTCTGTCCTTTACAACCGCTCTGCTAACATCGCTCTCGTCCTCCCCGGCCGCAACTTTCACCTCGAGCCAATCGGAGACAAGCTGACAGAATGAATAGAAAGCTTTCTTCCGTCGCAGAGATGTCACTTTAGCCTCTCAGCCTGGACGAGAGTAGATGGTTGCATCAGCGTGAGAGTGTTTGTGCATCGTGTTCGTATGTGTACGGCTGATGCAGGCAGAGATTGAAATACCTGCTGAAAGACCCCTTGTCTGCAGTGAAAGACTGTGTGTTTGGCCTTAACTCAGCCAGAGCCCTCACTGCTCACACACGGTTTAACTCGGTGCAAGCCGGCTGCTTGAATAGCTGGAGTGTTTGTGTGTTTGCAGCCCCACCCGTCTCCCGACAATTCCTCGTAGGGTCATTGATCTCTCCTCTTTAGTGAACTAAGGCTGCTGACTTTAGCCCATTTTTATTTTTGGATGTGTAGTAGCTCAACATAACCAACTCAGAAGTCCATTTAACTACTGATGTTTCGACCAATCACAACTAATCTTCATCTTATATCAGGTTGTAAGCCACAGTCTGATGTTCTGGCACACTAGTTTTAGGATCAGGTGAAGAAACATATCCTTCTGCACTAACCGCTCTATCTGAATTCAAACACTCTCACCACAATATGTTGCATGTGTTTTTGCATTTTGATCTTTTCCCGTCTCTCAGGCCATTGGCAATGCAAAGACCACCCGAAACGACAACAGCAGTCGCTTTGGGAAGTACATCGAGATCGGCTTCGACACGCGCTACCGTATCATCGGCGCCAACATGAGAACGTATCTGCTGGAGAAATCCCGAGTGGTGTTTCAGGTGAGCACATGAACGCACACTCGAGATGTTTTGTTTGTGCTTGTGTGGATATTTTTAGTGACTTACACCCGTTCCTTAACTCATTACAGTCTATTACTCCAGCCTCGACCATCACATAGCCATGCTCAAAGTTAACCTTTGTACAATTCTACAGTTTTCTACATTGTATAATTATTTAAGCTGTAAACAGATAACATCTTCAAACATTACAATAAAACTACCTTTAAATTGCTATATATTAAAACTGTATTTGTATTATGGTGTTATGTGTGTTCGACACTCCACCTTTTAAATTGAAACGTTACATTAAAAGGGGCAGACTTTGTAATGGTAAATGACACAGCACAGCTACAAGCACACTGGGACCATGACTCGGTAGGTAATTGGCTTCCAGTGGCTTACACTTGACCCTCGTGTTGCTGCACACGCCATACGCACACATGCATGCATGCACAACCAGTAAATAATGTGCCTCAGGTCATATGTTGAAGTATCGGACTCTATTGGCTGTACAAGAAGCAGGTGACATGCGGGAAAAGACACCTGCGTAACCCCTGTTCTTTGAATAGTGTGAGTGAGACGTCTCACTACGGGATAGAGTCTGACTTCCCAGCTATGTCACCAACTGTAGGGGGCACACAGTCCCTGGTTCAATTCCAGCCGGGGACCTTTTGTTGCATGTCACACACCCCTCTTTCTCCCTGCATACCTCGACTCTGACTCTACAATCTCTATCAAATAAAGGCAAAAATGCCAAATTAAATGTTTTTTTTAAATTGGACGTTTGCGGTTTCATTCAACAGGCATCGGTTCTGACTGTCTGAACTACCCTGCAGATCCTAACTTATGTTGCCCACAGTACAACACTAATGCTAACCCTGGTCAAAGCGTTTGAAAAGTTGGACTTAACCAACATTAACTGTCTGGCCCTGGTGCCCTTTAGAGCACAAGAAGAATGCGGCAATAACTTCTTTCTCCACAAAGACAAGTAGGAGGAAACAAAGTAAACAATCCATCTGTCACACCGGGTGAAAGCACAGCACTCCTCTCTCTCTCTCTCTCTAGTGTCAAAGACATTCTGGTTTTTTTAAATAATAATTACATTTCTGCCCTTTTCTTGTTTAACTCCTCCTGTAGATATATTTATGGCCTCACAAAGTCTTAGAGAATCCAAATCCGTTCACATGGTTAGCAAACAGAAAGGTTGTTTCACGATGTTACAGCTTTTATATTTTGTGAAGTTCTGTCTAGATGGAGTTCATTTGCTTTTTCTCTTCTATAGCTTTATTGTATATTCAGCGGGTGTGTTTGCTAACTGGTGGAGCCAGTAGGGCAGTGTCTGGATAAGGAAACATATTTTAACTCTGCACACACACACACACACACACACACACACACACACACACACTGTCTTTGCAACACTGTTTGGGAATGAGGATGTTGGCGGAAAACGTGATCACTGTCCTCACATTTCTCACATGATTGACTCCGGTGCCACCCATTTATAGGTGTGTGTTTGAGTTCTAGTAGCAGAAGCACCATTGTAGGTAACAGTTTCCAGCACGCTGCTGACATCCTTTTTAGTTATTAATTTTCACTAGAAATTGATTTATAACTCAAGTTGGATGCAGTTGTTTATGTTTATTATTTATGCACATCTACTGTCGGATCTATCAGGTATTACCTCCTCATAGGGTTGGGAACGCATGCACATGTCGGCCACATCTTGTGTTTGATTTCCTATACGTCTGGGAAATTTAAGTGTAACAAATAAACATGTAATATTCTTATCTGACTTAATAATGTCTGTTGATATGCCCTTGAGCAAGGCACTAAATCACCAACTGTTCCAGTGGAGCGTCCAGATGTTAAACTGTCAAACTGATTAAAAGCCCATCTGATTATACATTACCCACAGATGTTCCCTGCAAGAAGGCAGGTTGAAAAAAAAGTCTAAAACCTGTAAACCAATGACATTCATGTGCTGTGTTTTAATAACAATGCTATACAGGTGTACATGCAGCATTTCCCTCACATTATATGATCTTCATGCTTTGTTTCAGGCCGACGAGGAAAGGAATTATCACATCTTCTATCAGCTCTGTGCATCATCCCATCTGCCTGAGTACAAGGCGCTGAAGCTGAGTGAGTGTCATACATGTGTGCATGCAGCCACACACACACGCGCACACACACAGAGCAATGACAGAAACAGTAGCTTGAAGTCAGAAGGAACAGCTGGAGTGAACAACTGCATTTTCTTGTGAAGACAGAGTCACTGATTGGACGAGCACTGTGTTTAGCTGCAGTGGCTCCCCCCCCCCCCCCACATCTTTGGAAAACATCGTAACAGACCACAGTTAGATGTCTGAAGAGTGCTGACAGATATCAGATTTTATATCAGTTTAGTATCAAACACATTGACTCTGTGGTTAAACAGGCACTCAGAGCTCTCCCACTGTGGACCTGCACCTGCTCATCCAAGTCATGGGACACACACACACACACACACACAGCTGCTGTCTTTTCCTCTCCTGCTGACTTCCTGGCTCAATAAATGGGCTGGTTGTCACAGTCGTGTCAGTGCCTCTTGTTGCCAGGAAACAGGCCATGCCTTAATTCAGTGTGAAGCGTGAATAGAGAAACAGATTGTGGGAAAGTTGAGCTAACATCATTTTTACACAGAAGGGTTCTTGATGGTGCACTGATGTCATGATGTATGACTTTAACAGCTCCCCCTAGCTAATCGGAAACAAAATGTTATCTAAAATAAACTTCTATTTATTGAACGAGGTACATGTTGGTTTCCAAAGCTCCGTGAAAAAGGAGGATCCTGTGAGAGCACATTTGTACCCACGTTGCACGAGGTAAAACTGCACATACTGCATGTTTTCTCAATGTGTTCACTCTCTCCGTTTCTCCACTCAGGCAACGCAAACGACTTCTTGTACACCAGGCAAGGCCGCAGCCCGGTTATCTACGGTGTGGATGACACCAATGAGCTGTCCACCACTCGCAAAGCCTTCACATTGCTCGGTAACAGGCTCCCCCTCATATAGAAAAATCCACAAACATTCAAGTAAAACACTTTGTAGGTATAGTTTTCCAGCTCTTTGAATTTGTGTGTGTGTGTGTGTTTTCCCCTGCAGGTATTAATGAGTCCAATCAGAAGGGGTTGTTCCAGGTTTTGGCTGCTATTCTTCATCTGGGAAACGTGGAGATAAAGGACAGAGACTCAGACAGCAGCGTCATTCCTGTGAGGATAATATTAATACTGCAGTTCAGATTGACAGTGAGACAAGCTGAAACAGATAGCTTCATATGTGATGGCCTGTCTCAGACGGACATCTAAAAATACATGTTGGGCCAGTTAGAGCCGAGGAACAAGCCAGTGATGCTGATTTGCGCTACGTGTTTACTTTCAAATGAGGAAATCCATTTTTTCTTAACCGACATGGTGTTGGGTATTTCCTGGTATTGATTAAGATCTCCTCTTTTCTCCGTAGCCCAACAATCGCCACCTGACGGCGTTCTGCGAGTTGGTGGGCGTGACCTACCAGGACATGTCTCAGTGGCTGTGCCACCGGAAGCTGAAGACGGCCACAGAGACGTATATCAAGACCCTGCCCCGCCTGCAGGCCACCAACGCCCGCGATGCGCTGTCAAAACATATCTATGCCAAGCTCTTCAACTGGATTGTGGAGCACGTCAACAAAGCCCTGATCACCAACATCAAACAGCACTCCTTCATCGGGGTGCTCGACATCTACGGGTACGCCTGTGCATTCGCCTGTCTGTGTGGGGTGACTAGCAAATCTGAGGTTTTAAATATCACTCGTATGTTAAGAGTAAAGTCATTTGCTCTGACTTTCCTTGAGGTGTACTAGCAGATTGACTCCTCTGTTCTTCTCCTTAAGGTTTGAGACATTTGAGATCAACAGCTTTGAGCAGTTTTGTATCAACTACGCCAATGAGAAACTCCAGCAGCAGTTCAACATGGTGGGCAGCACGCGTTTTACATCTTGGATTGCACGTTATGTTTACAGATATGAAAATGTTTTGTTTCTTTTTAATTATTTGATGCAAGTATTTAGCTTAATCCCCACTTGTGTGTGTGTTTGCGCAGCATGTGTTCAAGCTGGAGCAGGAGGAGTACATGAGGGAACAGATCCCCTGGACTCTGATTGACTTCTACGACAATCAGCCCTGCATCAACCTCATAGAGGCCAAGATGGGCATCCTGGACCTGTTGGACGAGGAGTGCAAGGTACGTTTTTATGCCATTATTATTCCATTACATTCAGTGGTGTTTTTTTTGTATTGAAAGACACTTAAGATGCGGAGAGAATTGTTGACGGACTCTGTCCAAAAGGATGCATTTTATCCTGCTTTTGTTTGACAAACATACAAACCAAATAGACTGATCATGAATCTTCTCATCTTTAATCGGTCTTTTAAAGAATGTAGAGTTACATAAGACTTGATGACTCATGAATACAGTTTGTGGAATAAAAACTTTCTCATACATGTAAACAAAAAGTGAAGTAAGTCCGTGCTGCATACTGAGCATGAAGCATGTGGGCTGTGGTTGAACCTCTCAGTGAGAGCCTTCCACTAGTTCACACCCACATTCTGCTTTACGTTTTTTATTTTATTTTTTTTACAGTCAACCTGTTGGTGCCTCCCACCACACACTTGACCCGAGTCTCCCAACACCCACACTTAATAGTTCACATCAGAGTTCCCCTGCAGAAACCCAGCATACAAAACAGTGACCACTTTCTAGCGTACGCAATGGATGGATCGCGTGCTTTTATTTTGTTGGAGACGCTACACACTCAGAGTAATGTTTGGTGGAGCTTTGGTTGAATGTATATGAACTATAAGCGTTACCTGAGTTGATATTCAGGTTGCAGCCGGTGTAGATTAAAGGCAGTGCTCGTACCTGTACCGTCGACACACTTTCACAGCTCGGCCGGTTCACTGACAATGCTGACTAATCTCTCTGTGGCCCTTCACCGTTGCAAGGTCATTTTACAAGCTGTTGACATTTGAGGTGGTCCACACATTGCTAACATAATTGGAATGTAACGCAAACACGAAATGGACATTTGGTTTGACTTCTTGGCAAAATAAATATCAGAAAAGATGTTGTCCTCATGCACTGTGTAGCCAGAGAACACCCTTGTAAGATACAGTCCAATAACTGCAAAATCTGAATCTACTTGAAAGTTTCAGTACTCTGTCTTGCAGTGTATTTATAAGCATACATAGATATTTTCTTACCGTGTGTTCTCCGTTTCTATACCAGATGCCTAAAGGTTCGGATGATTCTTGGGCTCAGAAACTCTACAACACCCACCTGAAGGCCTGCTCCCTCTTTGAGAAGCCGCGCATGTCCAACCGCGCTTTCATCATTCAACATTTTGCTGACAAGGTGGGCTTGATTGTGTTCGCTTAATGTCCGCATGGTGTTCGTCATAGTATAAGAGGAGTTAGATTCATTATTTTTGAAAGTTTGACATTCAAATTTGGCTGGAAAACGAATGGCTCGTCCCTTTGTAGCTCAACATGCAACACTTAGGGACATAGTGGCTGCAGTTGCTGCTGCAGTGCTGGAGATATTTTTAGGATGGCTGGAGGACAGATCACTTTTATTATAATCATTGGTTTCACAAACAAAAACTATACTGCAGTGAAATGTTTAGAGAGAGTGTGTGTGTGTGTGTGTGTGTGTGTGTGTGTGTGTGTGTGTGTGTGTGTGTGTGTGTGTCTGACTCGTGTAATCCACTTTAGTGTTTCGTATCCTGTAATGAAGTGCTGTATGATGCAGTGTTATTTTTAATGTCTGTTTTAGGAGCCTCACTATAAGGTTACAGATAAACGGGGGCAAGATTAAAATGGGATCCTCGGAGATATTTCTGACCAAACATTTGAATGTTGATATATTTAAAGGCACTTGCATCAGGAGTTCATGTCCGTACATGAGCTACTCTGAGGGTTTTACTCTTTGCCTTGCGAGCTTGACATAAAACCAACAGATAAAAAAGATTTACTTTTTTATAAATGTACCCGAAACATTAGAACAGTGAATACACATTTCTTTGGGTCAGATTATTTTGTAAGATCTGCCGGAATGTGATTAGGAAAACAAAAATGCCAGGTAGAGGAGGTAAATTGTAGGGATGCCAAACCGAACCGTAAAAAACGTAGTAAACCAAACCGTGACCTGAACCGAACCGTTGCATCATTTGATGAGATGCCAGAGACAAAGAAGAGGCAATTATCATAGGCCTAACATAGGCCTACTTGACCATTAAGCACTCTGCCATTCATGTATAAATACAGTATAATATAAAATGATCATTCATTATTATCAATCAATCCATCTACAGTATATATTTTGGAGGTTGTGAGCACACAAAAACCAAATCTGTGGCCCAAAAACTGCAATACCTATCGAACCGTGGGCTTGTTGTGCTGTGGCACCGCTAGTAAAGTGAAATAAAAGACCTGGATACATCCCAGTGAAATGTCCTCACAGGTATTGTAACACTAACTGCTCTTTCTCTCTCTCTCGGCAGGTGGAGTACCAATGTGAAGGTTTCCTGGAGAAGAACAAGGACACAGTGAACGAAGAGCAGATCAATGTGCTGAAGGCCAGCAAGGTGAGCAGCACAGACGCACACCTACGTTATATTTTATATACATGTATAATCACCAAAAGCAGATCCTAACTAGATTCATGTGCAGAGAGCCATTTGAACACATCAATGTACGTCCACTGAGATCAAAGCCAAGAAGCCTGCCGCTCATGGAGAGCTGGTGCACCTGGTCGGTGTGTGAAAAATAGACGATTGTTTAGTGACCCAAAGTCCCACCCGAAGGCTCAGGGAAGCAGCGCCCTCCTCTGGCCATGTGGAGGTAGTGTTGATGCCAGAAGTGATGACAAATGCCACATCCAGGAGGTTTATGGCCAGAGAGGTTGAGGTTTTATTTGTACATCACAGAGAAAGCTAAACGCACACACACAGTGAGTCAGGTCATTGGCTCAACATGGCCCACAGAGGTTAAAGAGGATTTTGGTTCATTATTATGATATCAATATGTTTGATATTATGATATATTTTGCTACATTTTGCACCCGCTAGTTTGTCCAAATATATTTAAAGAGCTTTCAGAAAGGCATGACTAAGCCTAAATAAGTTTGTTATGTAGTAACAGGAGTAATACTGTACACATTTTGCAAACTTCCATGCATCCTTATGAAACGATCTTTGACACATTTACTAGTTTTGTCAAAGGGAGACATCACACCAACCTTGTGATAAAGTTTCTTTTTGCTTTCAAAATGTCTTAAAGGGTTGTTTTCACAGTTTTTCAAATGATTATTATTTAATTTTTGGGAACAAAACGCCAATGAACTAGAAAACCAAACTCTACAAACGTGCACACGTTCTATTAAACCTAACTTAGCCAGATCACCCCGAATTAACATCGTGTG